TTGAAAAATCCAAATTTTGAATGTGTCAGGACAATTCTTAGATGGTCAGAAGTGACGTGTCAATGTTTCGGACAGTTTGGTCTAATACCCTTAAAAAAAAGTGTTGTATTCGAATCGACTGATTTGAAGGGGATTTCACTTCACCTTAAAACATATTTGTATAAAATCCATATTCATAAGTTTGCGAGAATTCAAGTATTATGGATAACCAGAAGGCGTTTACATGCGTGTTCGATCTTGTATTACGAGCAAATCGGTCTTCGTCGGAAGGGATTCCCCGTTATTGAACGAGGAAACTATTAGCGATGCGGGAGGAGCAAGAATCTCACAGGGTCATTAGAGTCGCGGTGTTACCGATAATGGCGCATGTATAAACGGTATTTATAGGCGAGCACATACACACGCGCACCGAGTGGACGCTTAGTTTCCCATTCTCCCGCCTTTCCGGCGGCCGGCAGGTGTGATGAGAGATATTCGAGGTTTAACCAGGTTTTACGCATTTGCGTGAATTGTCCACATCGTAGGGGGCGCTTTGGTAGGCGTATGCGACGCACGCGCCCCACGCGGCTGGAATCGAAAGCTCGGAATTAGCGACGCGATCATGCGGGTAGAGTTTTTAGTGCGTTATATTACCCGGGTAATACAACCAAGAACGAGAATATAACCGATGATTAAATTCCCTGCGCATTTGATATGATAAATATTAAGATATATTGATTATAAAGTCTCATTTACTTCCATCTAAAAATATTCACATATACCTTGACGTGAAATTCCATGTGCTTTGTTCCAGAATAATTGTTTTCCTGGTCAGAGAGAAAAAAAAGAAAATAGAAAAAGGAAGGACTTCGTTTCGGTCTCCAGTTAGTGTTCCTTCTCGGAAAGTCTAAAACTGAATATTGGTTAACCATGTAAACACATTAATTCCAAGCTTCCAGAAAATTCCTTGGTTTATAGAATGACCACTGTTGGACAAATTTAAGGAAAAAGATGGAACGTGAAATAAATATACACTCGGAGACGTAATCGTTCTGTCCAAATTTTTGCTATTTCACAAACACCTCAACGCAAAGAATGGTCGCAGTACAATTACTCCGTCCTAACCTCAGAAAAATGGAAAAGTCTGTAATTTCGATTAAAAATCGCCAAAATATAAAAAATCTCTACCTCGCGCGTCCACTATTTAAATTGTCTTCTTTTTACTGACTGTTTTCGCACACAACTCCGTCTACCGGGGATCAAGATACTCGATAGAGTTCCGCGCCAAGTACAGTTGAGCGCGAAATTCAAATTTAGGGTTTCCACGATTCTAAACGAGCCAATCGGATTTCGGACTCACGAGCTCTGTTCAGCTGGACTTTTAGATCGCTTGTGATGCGCTAAATGTATAGACCTTTGTTTTCCATTGTACCATGATACCTTTCTTCCGTTCATTATAAATGATTGATCGTTTGATTGATTATGGATCGCTGATCTGGATGCAGCTTTCGTCTCTTTCAAAGCATCGCCAGTCAGGTGCACCTGCCTTTTGATTGTGAAATCATGGGCAGACAGTTTCCCCGCTTCATGATCCTGAGCAATCACTTCAGGACTATTGTCAAACTTCCTGGTGTTAACCTTGGACGCGGTTTTTTTATCCCCGGAACGTCTCCCCGATTTCTTGGATTTTCGGGCCGTGGGCTTAACCTCTAATTTCTCTTCGCTCTTCGCTCCAGTCTCATCATTCTCTAGAATTTCCAGACGTCTTGCAGTAACACTAGCATGCGTTTTCCTGGGTTCTCCATCAATTGATGCATTTCGCTTGGCCCTGTCCAGATATTCCCACAAATTTCCTCTGGGGACGGCATCGACCACGTTCAACGCCTGGAAAAAAAAAAAAAAAAAAAGCAAGAAAACGTTAAAAACGCAATTTGACTTCATTTACGAAAATATTTTCTTGCTAGAAATGATACACCGAATCGTCTAATATTTAACTACGTCACCTTCTTTATAACCTGCATATTCACATTGTCAAGTTTGAAACTATTCGGTATACAGTTCGAAGAGAAGTTTCATAAACGAGACTTCTTTGACGCCACTTTCACGTTCCCTTAAGGTGAAGTGAAACATCCTTCAAATCAGTCGATTCGAATACAACACTTTTTTTAAGGGTATTAGACCACACTGTCCGAAACCTTAACACATCACTCCTGATCATCTAAGAATTGTCCTGACACATTCAAAATTTGGATTTTTCAAAAGAATTTTTTAACTCAGTCCAGACCAGAATCAAAATGGCGTCGAGCTCTCATATTTCGATCGATATACAATTATCGAAGGCTCTGATATGAGAATCGAAAGGGTCAGGACAATTTTACGACAATTTAGAACACTCTGGTAATGGATAAACTCGCATTTGAACGGGATAAACGGAAAAAAGTGTTGTATGCGCTTCTTTGCTAAAACGATGGTAATACGAGGACTCGGAGTGAAAATTTAATTGACCTGGAAATCACAGATGGCGCAAGGGGTCCCTCCGCAGTGAATTAGGGCCCCAGAAGGCAAGAATCCAGAGGATTTCTGGAGTTTTACTTCGATTTCTTTATAATTATTGTACGAAAACGACAGGTGGAGTATGCCATTTGGTACAATACCCAATATAATTCGACNCGCTAAACTTTGGGGGGTTGTTTCACCCCTTAAATGTGGACCATTGCAGATATAAAAAAACACGTGTCTCTTAGATTTTTGTGTTCTTCAACTTATATGAAACTCAATAAGATCGGAGGCGGACACTTGGGAATGTTTCCTTGTAAGTTTCGTACAGTTTGGTCCAATACCCTTAAAAAAAAGTGTTGTACTCGAGTCGACTGATTTGAGGGGGGTTTCAGTTCACCTTAAAGGTTAATAATTATCAGTCGAATACCTTGCCGAGCCTTTTCAACTTCCTCGCATGGTGTGGGTCCTGATGATCACAAAAAGTGGCCATGGGAATCTCCTCGGTCGTCGTCGGCACTTCGTTTGAACATCCTTCACCTGTGCATGTTTCAGGTGTAGCAGTGGGTAACGATTCATCGCAGGTGCCATTTTCGCATGACTTAGTAGGTATTATAGATTTATCCGTAGAAGAGTCACATTCTCCACTTGAACAAGAGTCTTCCGAGGGGCTGCAGTCGTCCCCGATGCAAACAGTAGGTTCACAGTTCGAGCCAGAACAGGAAGAATCAGGGCAGGAACTTCCGGAACAGGAAGGGCTATCCTGATAAATAAAGGAAAAAAGAGATATTTCCACATTTAGCAAAGGACGATACAATTTTTAAGATATTTGCCGAGTTCAAGTTTCGCTCTTATTGTAGGAATAATCGCTGTAAAAAAGATTTTCCTAAATACCTACGTTGCCGACATACGTTTTTATATCGATAGCCGTCTGGAATTATATTGGGTATTGGACTACGTGGCACACTTCACTTGTCGTTTTCGTACAATAATTAAAAAAAAAATCTAATTAACACATCAGAAATACTCTGGATTCATGGTTTTCGAGGCCCTAATTGACTGTCGAGGGACCCCCTGCGCCATCTGTGATTTCCGTCTAAACTAAATTTTCACCAGTGTTCTAAATTGACGTACAAATGTCCTGACCCTTTCATTTCTCATATTAGAGCCTTAAATAATTGTATATCGATCGAAATACGGGAGCTCGACGTCATTTCGGTTCTGGCCTGGGTTAAGTTAAAATAATTTGTTTGAGCAGTCCAAGTTTTGATAGTGTCAGGATAATTCCTTGGTGCTCGCGAATGATGTGTCAAAGTTCCAGACGGTTCGATTCAATGCCCTTAAAAAAAGTGTCTTATTCGAGTCGATCGACTTGAGGGGAGGGTTCCACTTCACCTTAAGGTTAAATGAAACACGTCGATTAACTTCATCAACGTCGATAAAGAACATTTTTCTAAATGCCTACGTTGCCGACGTTCGTTTTTATATCGACAGCTATACCGAATTATATTGGGTATTGTACCAAATGGCATACACCGCCTGTCGTTTTCGTACAATAATTATCAAGAAATCGAAGTAAAACTCTAGAAATCCTCTGGATTCGTGCTTTCTGGGGCCCTAATTGACTGCAGAGGGACCCGCTGCGCCATCTGTGATTTCCAGGTCAATTAAATTTTCACTCCGAGNCATTTGGTACAATACCCAATATAATTCGACCCAGCTGTCAATATAAAAACGACGTCGACAACGTAGGCATTTAGAAAAATCTTCTTTATCGACGTCGATCAAGTTTCTCGACGTGTTTCACTTCACCTTAAGGTGAAGTGAAACCCCCTTCAAATCAGTCGATTCGAATACAACACTTTTTCTTAAGGGTATTGGACCAAACTGTCCGAAACTTTGACACGTCACTTTTGATCTTATTGTACGAAAACGACAGGTGGGGTATGCCATTTGGTACAATACCCAATATAATTCGACCCAGCTGTCGATATAAAAACCAACGTCGGCAACGTAGGCATTTAGAAAAATCTTCTTTATCGACGTCGATCTAGTTCCTCGACGTGTTTCACTTCACCTTAATCTTCCCAAATGCATAATCTTGAATAATTAATCATCAACAATTCGGTAGTTCCTTCTTATCTTAGGTATTTCGATTTATTCCTTGACTTTCGAATTTTCCGTGCCAGGGTTATTATTCGTATTCGGAATTATCAAGACTCGCATCTTGGCCTGCCAAACAATTTTGGCAGCCAGCTGCCGAACCTGTCATTGTGAAATTCCCTCGATCCGCTCCTGAGCATTCTTGAGACATGACATTGCCACTATCTCGGAACGTGCTTGTCACTTTTTATGCCAAATCGACATTTTACATGCGGAGCGATCTTCGAGAGATATACTCTGCCTTGGCTAATACAAAGAGCTTCTAAACTTTATTTTTGGTCCATGACGACTGCAGCTTGCTGTACTCGTGAGATGCAAAACGACTCGAAAACGGAAACGGACTGACAATTCATTATTTCAACGACTCTTAATTTTGACTAAATTGTTACGCGCATTTAGTAAATCAGCGGAAATTGCTCTTGAATTTTATTCAACATGCGAAATACAATCCATAAATAAAACGGGCTGTAAAATGTTATTCAACATGATAGATTGAATAATACCAGATGATTCAAAAACGGAAATAAATAGTCCATTTATTCTTCCGGCGACTCTCAATTGTAATTTCATGTCAATGCGCATTTAACAAATTAACGAATTTATTAAATTAATTATCAGTAATATTCTTTAATCGCGACCGCAATAATCGAGCCACCCAGTGTGCATTGTAAAATGCAAAACTGGTCCTCACCTCGGATTGTGAGGCTGTACTTCAAAGAAGTACACATCTCTTTGTTACGCCTACGTATGACGGAGGGGCTTCCCAGGAACAAAGAGCCATATTTTTCGCCTTAAGGAATTTAATTACATTCCGCAATAGAATTTTAGTGTTCTTTACTCGAAGAGGACGAACCATGCGCGAGGAAAACGAACGGATTCATAATTCCCGATAAAAGTGTGTAATGGACCCCGCAAGATTTTTCTCTTCTTCTTCGAGGACGCGATTTAACGGGCGAGATGATCGATGGGACGATTTCGACGTTTCAAATTATAAAACGATAATTTATGTGGATCATGATATGCATTCGCCGACCAGTTCGGACAGCAAGATCTGAAAAAGGAAGCGAAATCGATGCGATGTCGTCAGATCCGCGTTCCCTGCAACCAGTTTCGCGCCACACACTTTGAATGCATTAATGCGACTTTGGCGCGTTCAAAGTTTCGCTCGGTTTTTTGGACCAAGTGCGAACCGCTATTTAAAGGATGCCACGAATGTCAGTGGCAGCTGTCAGGGTATTAAATTCGATTTAAAGCGAATTGTGAATAAAAAAAAATCCGAGACTTCAGGTGGGATCGAACTCGCGACCCTCGCGTCGAAACGAGAAGCGCAACTTGCTCGTTTCTTTATTTCATATCTCGTCCCCTTTTTATTTCTTAACACTGGTATTAACAACAAAATCTTATTTAACTCGATGTGAAACTGTCGATTAAACTCCTACGCGATTTATACATATCCAATGTACGTGTCATGTAAGTTATAAATAAATTGTCTTCTTGTCAGGTTCTTACTGCTTAGTATCCCAAATCTTCAATTATTCCCTGCAATGAGGATACAAAGTTAAAACTATTCTCATTTTTCATGTGACAATATTCTTAACTTTTTAAGGTATTGCTATACTCACTGCATCGGATCGAATATGTAAACGCAAAAGATATCATTTCCAGCATTTCTTCAATTTTGCCTTGAGAGCGTCGTTATACTAGTGAAATAGACATCGTTGATCTAAAAAATTCTACCATAACACTTGTGTATAAAATTGCGGGGATTTTGCTTTCTGAATGTCGTTATTCCTACCTCAATAGATCTTGGCAATTAAGGTGAAGTGAAACACGTCGAGGAACTTGATCAACGTCGATAAAGAAGATTTTTCTAAATGCCTACGTTGCCGACGTTCGTTTTTATATCGGCAGCTGGGTCGAATTATATTGGGTATTGTACCAAATGGCATATTCCACCTGCCGTTTTCGTATAATAATTATAAAGAAATCGAAGTAAAACTCCAGAAATCCTCTGGATTCATGCTTTCTGGGGCCCTAATTGACTGCAGAGGGACCCCCTGCGCCATCTGTGATTTCCAGGTCAATTAAATTTTCACTCCGAGACCTCGTATTACCATCGTTTTAGCAAAGAAGCGCATACAACACTTTTTTTGCCTTTATCCCGTTCAAATGCAAGTTTATCGATTACCAGAGTGTTCTAAATTGTCGTAAAATTGTCCTGACCCTTTCGATTCTCATATCAGAGCCTTCGATAATTGTATATCGATCGAAATATGAGAGCTCGACGCCATTTTGATTCTGGTCTGGACTGAGTTAAAAAATTTGTTTGAAAAATCCAAATTTTGAATGCGTCAGGACAATTCTTAGATGATTAGGAGCGATGTGTCAAGGTTTCGGACAGTTTGGTCTAATACCCTTAAAAAAAAGTGTTGTATTCGAATCGACTGATTTGAAGGATGTTTCACTTCACCTTAAATCTTCCGGAAGGCTGCAGTGATCTGGATGTCGTTGCTGCCCATCGAGGATAAATGCTCATCGATGATTCCGCGAAATTTGACGAAATTCCTGGAACGATTATCGGAGGAGGAAACGCTAATTGTACCTTGGTGGACATGAATGATTTCCCAATGTTACATTGTGAATTTCTTGATCCTCAATGTCAATGACCATTTGTCAGGTCAAGATCATAATACTTCAGGAACTGAATGCCACGCTATGAGATCATTTGGAGTTCATAGAACGAGCCGGACTTTGAATCCGGAGGTGAATTATGTTTCCATGTTGAGTCGTACATCTTCGAACGTGTGTTATATACATTCAAACCTTTCGATTCTTATATCGGAGGATATTTGCCGGTGTAAACGTGCTCTAGCCTCTTGTGAGGACCGGCATGACTGCCCACGACAATGATTAATGGAGAGATGACCACTGTATTGGCCACTGGCTCGATGAAGAATTCCTCGACTATCGGAAACACGTAACAAATTGTTGCTACCTCGACATTGTTCGCCGGCTGCGATATTAAGTTTGAAAAATATATAGAAGCGATAGGATAAATGTTTAAAGAAACGATTCCAGTAAGAGAGTCTTGAGAGATTTCACATTGAAAATTATCCAGTAATTTGATGGTCAGTCGTAGGAATTTTCTCCTGAATTCCAAAGGGATATAATCCGTTTATTTGGGAGAAATATGACGCGAACTGAGGTAAATCCTCGTAATTATCGTGATTATCTTATCAGCGATGGACTGATATCGTGCTTGATCCGAGATTTCATTATCACCAATTTTATGATCGCGATTCTCCCGAACCTTTCACATTCCATGCGATAAGATTGTTGATAATTCGCTCATTGAAGTGTCCTGGTCTGATTTAATAGATATTAATTAAAAATCTATATCACGAAATTCATTGAGTTACATACATAAGGTTCTAACGAGATCATACATTTTATTTAAATGTGTGTTATAATTACTGTATCTATTGAACAAACCCAAGGAAAATGTTAGAAAATTACAATATATATTTTTTTAACGCTTTCAATAATATTTTCAGTCGCGAGAATATTTAGTTTATAGACTCGGTCATTGTGTTTTTGTTG